GTTTTTTTTTTCACCTTCGGGTTCGAGCGAACCCAGGCGCGGGGTTTGTCACGGAACCTAGGAGCTGGGTTCGCCTGGGTTCGTCTCGGAACCCAGGGGAGGGGTTTGCGATGAACCCACGCCTGGTTTGAGACGAACCAAGCTCCTGGGTTCGTCTCGAAGCCAACTCTTGGGTTCCGCGACAAAACCCGCGCCTGGGTTCGTCTCGGAACCCAAGGGATGGGTTTGCGACGAACCCGCGCCTGGTTCGAGACGAACCAAGCTCTTGGGTTCTTCTCAGAGCCCAGGCGTTGGGTTCGTCATGAACCCAGGCATTGGGTTCGTCTCAGAACCCAAGCGCAGGGTTCGCCGTGAACCCAGCTCCTGGATTCGTCTCCGAATGGAAGCTGAGGAGATTTTCAGTTTAGGGGAAAAGAAAATGAGGAAGAATACGATAAGTATTTTCTGTTTGTTTCTTTGATTGGATGAGGAATAATATAGTTAAGTATTTTTGGTTTGTTTCTGTGATTGAATGAGTATTTTCGATTTGTTTCTGTGATTGGATGAGGAAGAAGAAACAAATGTGGCTAGGGCTGGTTGGTTTGATTATAAATTGGTCCTTTATATACTAGTTTTTTCGTAAATAAAAGGAAGTGTGAGGATAAAATGAGAAGATCAGGTCAATTTCATTAAATTAGAAGCGAGAAGCTCCCGCGGAAGTAAGAAATGGGAGCTTCCGGGATTTGCAAAGGAAAGGCGAGAAGCTGAGCTTCTCAAAAGCTGCAGCAAGTTTTGGAAGCTGACCCGTTTGGTGCAGCTTGTGCTTTTCGAGCCAAAAAGCTCTTCTCACAATCTGCACCAAACAGGCTCACTAAAGAGGAATTGAAAACAGTGTAAAGGGCTTATTTTTCCACGGATCATGATTGGTGCACATTTGAATCCCACATCCGGGTGTCCACCCTTGGAGTTATAAACTTAGGGCTTGTTTGGTTTAGTTTATTAGAGCTTTTGCTTTTTTAATATTGTTTATGAGTGAGAAGTATAAATTTTTATTAGAGGAAAAATTAAAAAGTTACTTTTAGAGATATAAAAAAGTGAGTAAAAAGTGAATTTATGAAAGGACAATTATACATACATCCAAATAATCAACACTCATCTCAACACCCAAAGCTAAAATGATGAAGGGTAAATTTGTAATTTTACTGTTCATAAGCCTTTGGTGTTGAGATGTGTGTTGATTGTTTGGGTGTATGTATAATTATCCTTTATGAAAAGTTTAGATTTAAAATTTTTGAGTTTTTATTATCTGAAGTCTTTTTAAAATTAAAAAAATTTAAAAATATAAGTTTTTAAGAAGAAAATTTAAATTTATGAAACATGAATAGTATCAAAAAATTGAAACATTCTGTTGTTTTATTTTTTTAGATCAGTGCTAGAAACACTCTTTAATTTTTTTAAAAATATTTTTTATGTGATTGGGTCAAATAAAATATAAATTTATTAATTTGATTAATAATTAGTAATT